AATCCATTGACTTGATCCAAAGGGATGTGAGTTCAATACCTGGCTACAGCAGGTGTGAACAAAAGCTTGGAGAGTTAAAGGGAGATTACACATACTGAGACATCCGTAAGAGGCATGGCACGCGGAACTAGAACAATCTACTCCGGTGGACGAAATAAAGAGTTCAGTTAGAAATTGAAATCACTTGAAGAAGGCCGGAGCGTACAACGGCCGAAACCTCGTGAATATGGCAACGAAGATCAGAAGTCCGTACAGGTTTTTTTTCTCCAAAAATATGTAAACAATTACAATAAATCATCTTAGAAATATGGACGGATAATGGCGGAATCATTGATCGTCTTTAAAAGTGTATCTGATGAAAACAAACGGGCCTGGAATAATAATAATAATAATAATAATAATCTATAAAAAACGAAAATACTTTTGATACGGCCTAATGAAACGGGATAGAAATAAACGACTGAACAAATAAATCCGAGTGCGAAGATAAGGCAAAGGAAAGATTGATGAAGAAACGAAAGAAATAAGGTAAGCTGGTTGCTGGGGGGGTGTTAGGAAGAGATAAAAGATAAATAAATAATTAAATCTCGTACAAATACGTGATAAATAAATGAGGAAAGAGAAACAGAAAAAGAAAAGTAAAAGAAAAAGAAAATATTAATGACAAAGAAATCGGACAATAAACACAGGAAGGTGATAAAGAAGTTAAAAGTGAAAGATGGCACGCGCGGGCAACTTTGTGGGCGAGAGGATCATGGGATATGGCTGGAAGTGATCACAGTCTGCTTCTGAAAATCGATAAATGACACAAGAACAGACTAGAAATCAATCATATTGGCACGATCAAAAACTTCATTAACAATGAGGCAAGCAAATAAACAAATAAAAAAGAAACTTTCTGCTTTTATTTTCATTGTTAGTTCTTTTCCCGCTAATTCTATATTCCCGCTTCTTTCGATACCTTTTTTTTTTCGACTGTTCTTATATATATATATATATATATATATATATATATATATAAGAACAACGTAAAGAACATATATATATATATATATATATATAAAAATTTATATATATGTATATATATGTTCTTTACGTTGTTCTTCGACCGAATCCTTTGAAAGTGCTTACGTTGTTTTGTTTTTTTTTATTTTTGTTGTTTTTTTCCTTCCCATAGTCTCAACTTGATACGAATAGCCCTTAGCCGCGACGGTAGCTTCTCTTACGGGCCGCGACACGCGACCCGTCGCCCATTAGAGACAGCCGACTTGGTGCACTGTTGTGTCATCTTGTTTGTAGGCAGAAGTAAATAAGAAAGGAGTGGCGGTGATTGTCAAGCGTCACGTATCAAGTCTAATCGATGGCCAATCCGAGCTCGTGACAACCCCATCGTCATCGTCACTGCCGACAACCGATCGTCGCATTCTCCTTACCTTGACTTCACTTTCATTCTAGGCCCAAGACGCGAGGAAAGAAGATTTATTAGAATAAATAAAAGAAATTGCGATAAAAAGTCAGACAGAAAAAAATAGTAAGGTTGTTTTAAGACCATATTTATTTATAACAACTTCTCACATATATAACATACATCTTTTCTACAGATATAGTCTGAGACTTATCATATATATATATATATATATATATATATATATAAAAGTGAACATTGAAGTCAACTCTCAGAAGCGACAGGCTGTTTCATGCTGGACGCAGTCGCCAGGCTGCACATATAGTACAACTTAAAACTATATTTCTTCATATATATATATATATATATATATATATATATATATATATATATATATCAATGGATACTCATATTTGAAGAAATGGTCTGTTTTTATTTATTAATTAAGTATATTTATTTATTTGCATCTACCGGCCTGAGACTTAAGACTTCGGATTTCTGGTTTAAAATGTTCTTTAGATCCGGAAACCTTTGCTTACATAATAGAAAATTCCTCTTAGGCACATGTGAGGCTAGATAAAAAAAAAAAGGGGCGTACATTTCAATTAACCCTTCACCGATACGCTTGCTTCTTCTTCTTCTTCTTCTTCTTCTTCTTCTTCTTCTTCTTCTTCTTCACGTCCTCCTCACCCACTATTATACCCAACGCCGGGTGTTTGTTCATTTATTTTTAAAACAAATAATATAGCGTTCATTAACATTTAAAAAAAATAAAGCGTTAAGAGGTCATTTGATGAAAATTGCCTGAGGAGACCGTAAGGTTGAAACCAAGGTAGCGGATTCAACTGACCTCCTGATTTTTAATGTATTATATATATATATATATATATATATATATATATATATATATATATGTGTGTGTGTGTGTGTGTGTGTGTGTGTGTAGATATATAGAAAGATCGGAAAGAACCGTTAGGTTAATAATCCAAAGTTCTTTAGTATTTTTGTTTTTATTTAAAAAAAGTGATCAATACAACAGTAGAGCTTATATTATAATTCTTTAAAAAAAAAAAATATGATTCCATCGCTACATAAGAGTTCTCACGTTTCAAAAACAGAAGCTAAAATCTTTTTTTTTAATTTAAAGCAGCTAGTTCTGTTTCATCCTCAAGCGAATTTTGGAATAACTAATTTTGAAATTTACGGAGCTTTATAAGCATATAGACTCGTAATATTAATTTACATATCCATAGAAATTAATATATATATATATATATATATATATATATATATATATATATATATATATGTGTGTGTGTGTGTGGATACATCAGTATGTTTGATTCAATTTCTTCAAGGTGTTAAATATTATAATATATCCTCTATTCGTTCATAACTGCAATGAAGGGCATTAGTGGGAATCGATCGCAAATCGTCTCTCCCAGATTTAAAACTCCTTTCGACCATTTCATTGTTTGTTCCTTTTACAGTTACGCCACCTGCAACGCCATATAAGTTAATAAACTTACTAATCCACTTTTTATGCGCAGGGCGTAGACGATTGAAGTAATTGTTGATCGTTTAGCATCTCTCTTTGTGCTTGTATTGTCATTCATTCACATAAAAAAGGTTAATAAGTTCGTGCACAAGGCCAAAAGAATGGCGTTCCCTAGCGAACATTAAATACAGGAAGCACAACCAACGAACAACTGAGGCGAATATGGAGATTACGACAGCTCACTGGTTAGAGACATTAAAACTTTTAGGTAAGTATTTGGTAGGCTGTTCATATCTATCTATCTATTTGTCCGTATCTTTCTTGATCTCTTCATATCTATCTATCTATCTATCTATCTATCTATCTATCTATCTATCTATCCGTATCTTTCTTGATTTGTTCATATCTATCTATCTATCTATCTATCTATCTATCTATCTATCTATCAATGAAAGAGTACTGATGTCTGTCTATCTATCTATCTCTGAAAAAACTTTGTCTGTCTTGCTATCTATTTTCCCGTTCGTATGTTTTGCAATCTATCTATATATCTATCTATCTATCTATCTATATATCTATCTATGAAAGACTACTGATATCTGTCTGTCTATCTGTCTATCTATCTCTCTATTTCTGAAAGATTTTTGATGTCTGTCCGTCTATCTTTCAGTCTGTCCGTATCTTTCGTAATCAGTTCATTATCTATCTATCTATCTATCTATCTATCTATCTATCTATCTATCTATCTATATATCTATCTATCTCTGTAACTATTTATCCCTGTCTATTCACTCCCATGGTCTGCTAAGCATAGTTGCAGTATAAGCCACAGGTGGGCCCTGTGATTTTTGAACAAACACAAATGTCACAGACATCTGCTCCCCACCCTAGCAGACGGGTGTGCTCAGAAACGAGTAACCAGTCATTAATGCCATATATACTCGTGTGTAATCCTACTTCGTGTATAGTGCCCCACTCTAGATTAAAAAAAGTATCATATAGTTCGAATATAATGCTACCCCAGCTTCTAATTATTACCAGTAGGCCTACCGTAGACCAATATTGTGGTACTTGGCATTATCTTGGACATATCTTATAGCAAGTAAATGGTCTTTATTCTTTTTTGTACAAAGCAAACTCAAAATCGTAAGAGAATCCATTTACCATAAAATATCTGATACTAAGATTTAGATATCGTACTTTTGTTTTCGTTCAAGCAATATCTCACATAAATGCCACTTAAAATCAACCAATATCTTACATAAATGCCACTTAAAATCAACAAATATCTTGCATAAATGCCACTTAAAATCAACCAATATCTCACATAAATGCCACTTAAAATCAGCCAATATCTTACATAAACGCCACTTAAAATCAACAAATATCTTGCATAAATGCCACTTAAAATCAACCAATATCTCACATAAATGCCACTTAAAATCAACCAATATCTCACATAAATGCCACTTAAAATCAGCCAATATCTTACATAAACGCCACTTAAAATCAACAAATATCTTGCATAAATGCCACTTAAAATCAACCAATATCTCACATAAATGCCACTTAAAATCAACAAATATCTTGCCGCTTAAAATCAACCAATATTTTACAAAAATGCCACTTAAAATCAACCAATATCTTACATAAATAAAGAATTAACAGACTTTTTTCCTATTTCAAATTTGCATTCATCTTCGTTTCGCAAGTGTTTCCATCGCTGACGCATTGCCTTTCCTATAGCAACCTTTTTGCCAGGGTTACCGGTACATAAGGCAGGGGGTTCTACGACTCGATATCCATATATAAGTCATTATAATTAAAAAAAAATACTGTATACATTTACTCCCTTGTGCAAATTAATTGATGAAAGAACCGCTTTAGTTTCCTTTCTTTCACCATACGTCAGTTTCAGACCAACTGGAGTGACAGGGTGTAATCGATTTTTATTTTTTTTTTCCTCAGATTAGGTCATTTGTAGTGGTGTGCAGTAATATGAATCTATTTTCGGGGTGTATGATGAAATTTGTTTGGCCTTGAAAAATATTGCGTCATCCGTGATTGCATCAGATTTTCATCACGCCCAGACACTATTGTCTCGACTGTCGATTAGTTGTCCCACGACCATTGTCTGCGATGGACGTTACTCCAAGATAGCATACGAAAATTGTAACGCCGCACGAATACACTGGCAAGCCTTACCAGTGAGCAAATCAAAGTACTATAGACTGGCCCGGAAACTCTCCTGATTTAAATCCAATCGAGAATCTGTGAGCAATCTGCAAGGAACGACTTCGTGGAATGGCCATACGAAGTAATAACATGTGTATTGGGTCATGTTTCATTGGAAAAATATGAAAAAAGTAAATAATAACGGGATTATCCTTTTTGTTACAATTAGTTTTGTACAGGGGTGTACTTTTTTTTTTTACTTTATTTTGATAGAAAGTGAGGTTCTTTAAATGTGTGTTGTGTTGTGTTGCTGAGCGGCTCTCTGCCTAAACAAAACATTGAAGAATGCTCTAAGTAATCTGGATGTCTGAAAGCGAAAAGACATTTGCAAAGAGAGTGCGCGTGCGGTCTCTTACACTGGAATCTGAATGCGAACGGATGGTTCAGGCGTGAGGAAATACCAGATCTGAAAATCTGGTATCTTCCTTTAAGAAATGCAGTATCTCTAATACACTTGATAGGACGGAAGATGATTTCTTGTCGGGTGACCATGTTAAGGACACTATAACTGAGGATTAAGAAGCTGCTGCGGATCCGATGAGGGCTGAAGATAATGGATCATTTGGTAACCAGGTTCAAGCAGAAGACGTTATTTTGCAATGCAGACGATAAACAATGCTTTTCATTTAATGAATGTTCACTCAGTGAACTAGTTCCTTTTTTTTGTATCATAAATAATTTATTTCTTTATAGTTAATAAATATCCATTAAAAAAGCAAACTATTTTCTTCATTCTATCATAAATAATTACTTCCTGTAGCATGTACGTAATACTGCGTGTATAATTTATAGATGGTCCTAGGCAAGACGATAAAATACATCCAACAAGAAGGCCTCTGATCAGGAGGTTTTGAGGAATGTGGAACTACCTCTTAATTGCTGGTGTTCCCAGGTCCAAACTTACCCGGGGTGGTAGAAACTGTTAGGGTCCTAGCAATACCTTGTTTGAAAAAGATATTACGAGAAATACATTTTTGAAAAAATATTACCAGTAATACATTTTTGAAAAAGACATTACTAGCAGTACATTTAAAAAAATTATTACTACCAATACATTTTTGAAAAAGATATTGCCAGCGATGCAGAATAAATATTATCCACATTTCTTTCTTAAAGCGATTTTTTGTTACAAATACATTTTTTATTCATA